TGAGTCTTTGTCAGCAACAAAGTAGATAGAACAATGTTTATGACTGTATCAGATTTATTACCAGAACATGTTAATATCATTACGATATGTAGTTAATTCATTTGAATTTCTGGTGCTGATATGGGACTGCCTGAGAAAGCACCCTTTTGAAGGTTTGCATGAGATTTTGAGGTGCTGTTGCCTTCATTTCCATCACAGAAAACTTGTCTGGAAGTATATTTTCAATTAATTATCTGGGCCAACATCACAGCTGCTGCTCCTCAGTTTTTCATCTGTATATGTATTTCATCAACATTAACAGCTGCAAACTGCATATTAGAAATTAAGAATAAAAAGAAGCTTTTAGAAGAAAACGATTTCATTTTTATCATTTTGCTAACTAGGGCTGTGAAAAAAATCACTGCTGTCTGTTGCAAGACTCGGAAACAGTCTGTTTTGTTTATATAATAAAATGTGGCCTTATTAGTACTACATTAGGCTTAGAAAAATACTTGGATGAGTTACTGTTTGGTAACAATTTCAGTATCTGTACCCATCCTTCCTACAGTTTTGCGCATGGTAAAACTACAGCACTATCAATACTGCACTGTCTATACTAATCTGATTACCAGAAAACCCTGTACATTTTTTCCTATCTTTTTTTTTTTTTTTTCCTAGTACTAGATTTTTACTGGTAAGTTTTTAAAATTAACATACTTTGGAAAAAACAAACAAACAAACCATGAACCAACCAAACAAAAAGAACAGGAAAGAGCTGCTATAAACTCAGAAATTTTGCTGCTTCCTATCTGGTGAGAGTGATGACAGAGCTAGGGCAGTAAGCTTGAATTAAAGAATACTTACAAAGCACCAGCTACCTTTTATTGGCAGGGTTATGATCTCCAGTAAGAGATTTGTCAATTCTCTTACATGAATAGTTCCTGTAGGAAATGCATGGATATATAAAGACTTTAAAACATATTATTATTAAGGAATGAAAATAAAAGTTAAATTAGTTTTCTTTTCTTAAAAATCAATCTTTCTCAACAGTTGAATTAAGTGAAATAAAGGTAAGAAATGAACTGCTAAAATGTTTCACATCCTCTCTGCTCTATAGTTTAATGAACCTGAAGAATTTGAATCTTTCATTTTCCTAAAAAAGTTAGCTAATGTTTAGTTTTTACTTTTTCATACTAAATGACCAGAAGAGCCCAAAAAATTCCAAATGTAAACTTGGAGCAATCACCAAATTTTATTAACTGTCACAATTATCTTCTGGAGAGCAACCACAAAACTACTGAATATTTTACTTTTCTCATTTGTGATCTCTTCTTCCGTCTCACTGGAAAACAACCCAGTGAATAAATCATTCAGGGTTTAATTCTGTATATTCAGCTTCTAACTAATACACTCTAAGAGCATCTTGGAGGGTCATGCTTCTTATCATCAGCTTCATTTCTATCACAGCCTTCAGCATCAAGTTTCTTCCAAACTACTTATTAAATTTTCAACTTTATTTTGAACTTCATGTTTATATCTGTTGGTTTTTCTTTCTTTTTTTTTTTTTTTCTTTTTTTCCCCTTTTATACTGCTGCAACCTGATCACCTGATATACAGGTTGACAGAGCATGCAACAAGGAAGCAAAATCACATGAAAAGAAGAGTAATTGAAATTTTATTCTGAAAATGGTTTCATGGCAGATTACTTCCTGGGTCTTTTTCTCATTTGTGGTAGTGCAAGAAAGTATAGCTGCAGGGAACACGTAAATCTAATTGTCTGTATCACAGGAGTTAGGATTACATCTAATCCCATTTTCTCTGATCACAGTAGAGTATGGACACCATACTCAGGTAATCCCTGATGAAGGTCCGAGTGGAAGCGAAAGTGCTCTCCCTGGTGCCAGGATACCTCTCTCCACACTCAAAGGTCAGCTGTGAAAGCCACAAACGGTTTTGATCAAACTGAAAACATTTACAAAACTGAAAACTTTACAAAAGTCTTTGGCCTTTTAAGTGAGTTGGCACGGCTCCATCACAATTTGCTGCCAATGAATCTCTTTGCCCTAACACAAATGGCAAATCTGGCACTGTTCATTATGTGCAGGGGATGTTTCCAGGCAGCACCGCTGCCCATCACATCTGCATAGCTGTCAAGGAATAGAGGCTGGGCCCAGATTCAGCTGAGAGCAATCAGCATACCCTAGAACAGGTACACTACCTAGGATGCTATTAATTGTATTTTTCTAGCTGGTGCCATTTACTGTGTGACAACTCTTCTCATTTCCATATCTTTCCCTTTTATACTTACAAAAAGGTTTTAGCAACATAAACAACCAAAGAAACAAACAAAAAAAAACCACCAGCAAGGACGTACTGGGACAAAGGCTGACTTGCTCTTTTACAAATGCATGAATCAATTTCACAATGCTATATATTATTTAGTAATTCTCACTATTTCATGTAATTTTACAGAGCTTTTTTTATTTCCTCATTTTGGAAGGATGAAAATGGTTGATTTTTCAATTCATTCTGTAACGATATCTGAAACAGCCCAGGAAGATATTCTAATGTTATACTACAACAATGAATGTATCTTATTATTATTTTAATAAAAGTATAAAAATTTTAAAAATGAAAAATGTATTTCATTCTGAAAAAAATAAAAGAAAGAAAAATAAAAAACATTAAGTTCTGAAGTGTCTATTTCTAAAGATTAATTCAGGAGTTTAATTCTGCATTTATTTTTCATCATGGGAAAATGAGGGAAACCACTGCTCTGCATCTGCTGATAAGTGATTCTATTTATGGTATGAAGGAGTTGCCTGTACACTTATCAACATAGAAGATCATGCAGAAAATACCACAAGCATAATGAACACATGAAATATACCACTGTCATTTTGGCATGTTACTTTGCTTTTATAGGAAACTAGATACCATGTACTTTAGTTAAACGTAAAGTAGATTTAGAGATGTGATTTTCAGATTGCCAAAGTTCATTAACCTGATGTCAAGTTAATGTATGGAACTGTACCCTTTGAGGTAGGATGAGCTGTAAAATAAGAAACATTAAGTCAAAATATCTGATTAACTGTTCATTATGTACAAATAAACTACCAAGACAACTGTAACCTGATTGAACTATTTAGTAAGTTACAAACTCCAGTAAGAACAACTGAAAAAAAATCTGAGAGACGTGAGGTCTTACAGGTTCTATTGAAAAATAAATCCTTGTTTAATATCTTCACTGCAGCATTGCAGTGTTGGAAGTTTAGTTACTCTGTTTTATTCTTTTAACTTTCAGGAAGAAAAGAAGCTGTGCAGAGCCTCAATGACTAAAGTTCCTTCTAGCAAAGTATGCATCAGTCTTACACTGCCTCACAACATGACTGAAGCCACTCGATTGTGTTGCTACTTTCTCTACAACTCCTTTCCAAGGGTTTGACTTCCTCTTTCATTATAGATATTCTGAGCCCTGCCTACTTTTTCAGCATTAAATAAATAATGCTTATTTATACTTCAATACTGAGATGATATTTAGCTGTCTGCTATATATAATTAATTTGAAACTGAATAAAAATGTTGAGAAACTGAGCATACAGCTGCCCAGCTACATAATTAAGAGTTTCTTTACTCTTTTTATGAAAGACTAAAACACTTTTCAGAATGCTGCTTTAAGATGAACACATAGCATAACTCAACTAACATCAGCTCTTGATCTCAACCAGTGCAAAGTTGAACTGCTTTTACACTCTTAAACCACATTTGCATCAACCTTTTCCTTTTCCTGTCTCTCTTCCTTTCGTAGGTTCCTATTATTGTACTGAGATAAGAGACCCTCATTTATCTCCTGTCACTTTACCTGGATCATTTGCAGATTATTCTTTTAGCCTAATTGGCCTTTTCTCTTTCTAACCATAATGGGCAGAAAGTAATAGCAGAGTAACTCAAGAGCAGGCTAACCCATCAGCCTTCACAGTTATACACGGCTGGTTTAAGAGACATACAGGTAGACTCCCATGGAATCAGACTGATAAAAATATACTGCAGTGACTGATTTTTATTTTTTTTTTAATTGAAGATATAGTGCACCATATATTTTTATTAGACAATTTTAATAATTTTAACAATTTTAATTAAAAGTTATCAGTAACGAAATGTCACTGAGTCTTGAATAAAAGCTGTAGAGATGAAGATTATCTGGCAGATGTTAGAACAAATAGAACTGATAAAAAATAATGGTAAAGATATTCTTCTCTCACCCAATGACCTTTTTAATTTCTTACTCTGCAGAAATGAAATGGCATCCATTTTCCTTTGAAGAGGAGATAAAATAAAATTAAATGCTGATGCAAAAAAAAAATCTTGGAGTAATCGCAGATTGATAACTTACATTTGTTTTCCAAGATCTCTGATAAAGAAATTCATAGTAAGTACACGTAACAAACCACCTGAAGGTAACCTACAAGATGATAGTTTACTTCTAAATATAGTTTCCTGTCAATAGTTAATATTTAACAAATCTTATTCTATTGACCTACAGCATTTGATCATTGCTTTCAAAGAAAAATTGATCCAGTATCAACAGCACCACTTACAAATAATGACTTGTTAACAGATATAGAAAATTAAAACTGAGGACGGACATATTAATCCACATAGCTTCTCAGTGCACTGGCCTTTTGTTAATCTTGGATTTTACAGAACTTACAGCCACTGTAAGGCAAGTAATATACTCTGACAACACCTTGAGAATAGGCATTTCCAACAGGATGTTTTCAAGACAGAAATCTAACATACATGAAAATACCACTGTTCATCAGCACATGGCACGGGAATGCAAAGCTTGGATTTTTCCTTAATATTTAGACAGGAGGCAAAACACAATTTTTCATCTTTAGAATAATGTTTGCGATATGGATGCAAAGCAGAGCTAGTCTACACACCTAAAAATTATGTTACCTTTTAGAATAAATAAAGAAAAGAGTAGAAAACAAGCTACTTTGCAGCGGATTACTTACATTGCTTTACAGGCTTGTGGTCTGTGATACACACATTCATGAACTGAAAAAATAAAATCTACCATTAATATATAATCAGTAAATTTCAGAGTATCTTACAAAGGAAACAGCTACTTTAATTTCCAGATTGTGAGTACGGAACAGAGACTCACAAATGCAAAGCAACTTGCCCAGCATCCAACAAATGATGTATGATTATGAGACAGTGGAAGTAGCCAATAGTTCCTGGGGTATCTCAAGTACCCTGAGCCAAACTACCATAACAAATAAGCCTAATTTTAATTCAGCATGATTACAATGCAGAAGATCCAGTTGATTTTTCCTCCAAATTTCAAGATTTTTTCTTTCCCTCTATGGTTCCAAGATTGTTTACTTACAGATGTGAATTAGCATTAATACAGCAATTGCAGTTCTCATAAATCATTAGAATTTACAGCTGCAGATCAAAATTAGTTGAAACATATGCATGTTCATGTGAGGACAAAAAGAAACACCCTAAATGCACTAACTGTATCTGGAAAAGTAACTAACTATAGTAACTGATCTAATGTAAAAAGGAAGCAAGAATATTCATATATAAATGGAGTGCATAGAACAGATCAAGCAGCAGTGGCAATATGCTGAGGAGCCAGGAATGCGCACGAGTACTGAACTGCGCTTGCCACTCCAGAAAAGTGGAAGGTGTGGGAGGAATGTTCTTTGGTGGTGGGATAATAGACCGGTTTGGAACCTATTATTTGATCCTTCCTGTCACAGTGAAGACTGGTGCTTTGTGAAAGCATCCTGTCTGCCTCATAGTCCATGCCCTCTTCTTGAGAAAACAAGCTAGAAGATTAACTGTCTCTGAACTTACTGTTTGTTATTCATTAATAATTGCAAACATTATTTTGGGCCTAACAGTAGAAAGATGAGGTAAAACAGAAAGAGAAGCAAAACCAGAATGATTTAGTTTTGTTAAATATGCCAGAGAGTTTATATAATAATATAAAGTAAATATGCATGTTGAAGTCACTTTTCAGTGCTATAAATTGTCGTATATTCCCCAGAGATACTATGCAACTGGAAATAGGAAGCAGAAAATCTTTATGACTGTGAATGTCAGAGCTAGAGGCACTGCCCAATTAAGAATGGAAGTAAATCTCTCCATCACATAGTCTAGCTATTAAGATGCAGTTCACACTGTGGATGTGTCTGAGAAGTTTGCAGTCTGTGAAAGCAAAGGTGAAGGTCAAGGAGTAAGCCACAAAACCCTTGGCTATCTACAGAGTTTGCAATCAAGATGTGTGGAGTTGATACGTTCTCATACTATTCCCAGAAACGATGCTTTTTACTTCCCATAAGTGTGGTCACTGCATTGCTGATCATCAGAGCTTTGTAGTACAGTGTCGTGAGGTGATTTATAAAACCCAAGTTTTCGAGGCAGTTCATCAGGGAATTGAAGCAGCTAAGATGTTGATAATCACTAGACTAGAAGCAGATCTGACAGGCAAAATACAAGCCTTCCTCAAGAAACTTTTTGCTCAGAGTTATCTGCTATAAACATCTTCAGCTCATCTGTAGTCAAGTGCAGCACTGGCGTATCTTGTCTAGATTTCATATTCCCTTGCTAAGCCACCTTCCTATCACACTCTTTCATCTTTCAGGCACTCCTGGGCTAGAAAGGATTCTTGCCTTCCCAATAAATATCAACAGTATTTTTCAGTTAAAGTTAGTCAAAATGTGATTTGTACAGATGTTTAGCATTTAGTTCCTTTTCTGCCAGAAGTATTCCCTTACAGCATATTGTTTTGGCATAGACATCTTCACCCCTCCCCATTAAATACTAAAAGCAATTGTTTGAACACTATTATTGTGGGTTTTTTCTTGTTGTTGTTGGTTTTTTTTTGTGGTTTTTTTTTTTTCGTTTTTAATTTAAGTAAAGCTTTGATCTTGAAGAAGTGAGTAACTTAGACGACTCAAAAAATACATTCATATTACAAAAACCACGCTAATTTCAGCCAGGACAGAAATAATATAACCTTTAGCAGAAAAGGGAAAAGCAGAGTTTAGAGAAGTTGTGTGTCCACTCCATTGTCAGTCACATTTACCTGACTACAACCACACAGACAACAATAAATAAATAAGTGCACAAATGAATAAATAAAAGAAACCAGCTTTATGCCTAAAGTCAGAAGGAAGGCTGACCATGGCTAGCCACAGAAGCACAGCAGCTGCTGTCCAAGTGGCAGCAAGATTTCAGTCCTCAGTAGGGGAGCACAGCCTTGCAGCCCACAAACAACCCCACTGGATCAAACCTCGCAGTATTTGGTATTGCTCCAACCACCTTAATTTTAAGAACTCAGCCTTATGTGCACTCAAAATGCAAGACAGTATTCACATACAAACTCCAGGACCAAGTCCCCTGGTTACCACTCAGAGCCTCTTTTTGCTAATAATTCCATTGATTTCAGCAAGCCCAGGGCTAAGTAAAAATAAACAAACAAACAAAAAGATTTCTGTGTAGAGAGTCCAGTCTTATATACCAATTGAGAACTTCAGTAACAGCAAAAACATTTATGTTGTGGACCTCTCACACAAATGGAAAGCCAGCCTCCACTGACAGTTATCATCTCTTTTTTGGTTTCTAATACAGGTTTTAAATTGTGCAACTCATACTGCTTTGGTTCTGGTCCGCTTTTCTGTTTCACAGTCTCCATCTTCTACCTCCTTATTCACATAACAGTGAGCTAGAGGTGGGTGTGTGGATTGGTAACAATTCCATATGCTACTGCTTCTACACTACTTCACTTACCAGTACCAATGGTACTTTTTAGAGCATTTAATCAGGTGCAGCCTGACCAGCTGAATAAAAATAATGTTTCAACGCAGTTCATTTGCCTTTATAGCACTGACAGAAACAGCTTTGAACTGGTAGGCTGAAGGGCAAATGCACTTCAATAGCTTTGTTTGAATGAGAATTTCAGTTACAGTTTCTTTCCTCCTGTGGTACTACCTATTTTCCTGTAGAGTAAACATGAGATTTTGGGGACTACCTCCAGTGAAAAAGATAGTAAATACTGTGTTTCACTATGTTTCCACTCTTTTGCTCAAGCATGCTGCAATGTAGAGTACAGACTGTTTGAATATTTGATAATTGTTTCCAGCACATTCTCACCAGACTCAATGTGTTATCACTTGAAAATGGCAAAGATTCTGGTTGGTTGTAAAGTTTACAGCCAGAATGGGGAGGAATACTAATGAGGCAACACAAGTTCACGCTTGTCTAAGTAGTTGAAAATATTTGAAAAATGATCTATGTGGCTAAATATAAGGCAAAGAGGCAGTGTGGTTTTTGAAGAGAGAAATCATGTTTTTTTAAACGTAAGAGTGCTTTTCAAAAAGCTAGTTTCACTGTAAATAAAGTTCATACACATGTCTGGGTTCTTAAAAAAATGCTTTCTACTTAAGAATTAAGTTCATTTTACCATTAGGTGAAATAGAAGCTTCCCTTGCATACCAATAACCTCATAGACAGCAGAACAAACATTATGGGAATTAACGGGGATTAAAAATTGAATGAGAAATTCAGTGATATTCCACAGAAATTCATGCTGGAGTCCCTGTTCTTTGCTATATTCATAAACGGCTTCAAAAGAATGGAGAACAAAGTGACAAAATTGGCTGAAAGCAGAAAAGAGCTGAGGCTTCTTCAACATGGATAAGAAGAGAGTCAAGTTTATAATTCAGTATACCCTGTAGCACAAGACCCATATGGTATGCAATGAAAGTTTGTGGCAGAAGCTGTAAAATAAAGAGCACAGATGTAAATCCAACTTTTCCAGTGCTACTCAGAAACAATGAAATACATTCCAAAAGGACAAGTAAGATGTTAATGTGTAAAATATTAAGAACTTCAGAAAATGTATAAGAATTCTCAAGGGCTATTAAAAAGTAAGTCTAGATATAGTATTCTACTTAAGAAGTCCTTAACACTTCAGATGAAAACAGGAAAGGCTATAGAGAAATACCAACATGCTTGCTCTGCTTTTACTCTCTTTCTTCAAGTGTTTTCTCCTGCCTGTTTTCTTTGCTGATTTCTCCAGGGTCAGCTGGACCCTTGGTCTGATCTATTGCAGACATTCTTGTGCTCTTGGAGCTCTGTGTTTTGCATGCAGTCACACAGTTTCACCTAGGAATAGGCAGACACTGAACAATGCAGTTTTCCATTTTCCCTCGCAACCACTCCACTAAAAATGTGAGCCTAAAGCTACTCATCTTCTGTTGTGCACAGAATGAAAATAAGACAAGAGAGAAGTAAGGAAGAGACTAATGATAGTCAAGGGACACTGTGTAAGTCAGTCTGTACAAAGGGTATAGAAAAGCAAACAGTATGAAGTAAATATAAAAATAAAGCACCAAGTCCCATTAAAAATACCACTCCCACTCTCCCACAAAACCCTTATCTATTTTCTGAAATTAAAACTATTACTAAATAAAGAATTTTAAAAGAAACTTAGATGCAATTTAAATTTTCTGGACTTCATTCAAAATATAAATATATGAAGAGTAGCACCTGGAGATAACCAGCATGCTTGTGCTGTGCAAGGCCCTGTAAGTGTGATGGAAATAAACTGACTTTTACAACTTTTCCAGGAAAGCTGGAAAATTAATGGAGACCACTTTAGCTCTAAGATAGTTTCTCCCAAATGCCAGAGTAAATTAACTTCCATAAAAGACCCACATTGCTATTGTTAGCTTACTTCCAGAACTCAGGCTTCCTCATTTAAATCTAGCTTGCATATCTAGACCACAGTGCAATTTCTGTAGACATACCTTTCAAATATAGGACTTCTTTCCTCACTATACAACACCATTAAGACCCTCCAGGATGCATTTTACCAGCCTGTTAATACAAACACCAGCAGCCTCAGATATCATACAACACCTTGAGGTATATGTTAATTGATCAATAAAACACACCTGTAGCATATTAATGTTATAATAAAACACTCTACATATTCAGTAAATTTTGTGTTATCAGTTCTCCATCAATTATTTATTAAGAACTATCATAATAAATAATCTGCTGAGCAAGGAGCAATAACGAGGAGGAAGAAACATTTTATCACCTTCTCTACAGTTCCAGCCTCTGTAGCATGCTGCATATTTATAAGTGCTTGAAGAGAAGTAAGATAGAACTCTTCAGCTTTAAATCTTCATATTCTATTCACAAAGAGATTGCTTTGTTGAAAATAACAAAAGAACAGGTTTTCTTATATGTATTTTCTTGCATCAGGTTCTCCTAATCCTAATATTAGTAATTCCCTTTTCTATAGGATCGGTAGTTTCATCTGCTGTGAGTGCTCGTTAGCTGACTCAGTATTAGCTAACAGAAATACTTCCACTAAAAAGAAACTGTAAGCCTCTTTGAGACTAAAATGGATTTTTAAATTTCAGTAGAGAAATGCAATATCTCCAAATAAAATTAGCATATAACTAAAATGAGGATGTTCTATCAGCATAAAAAAAAATAAAATATGAGCTTCATTGATCTTGTAATGCTGGACCTACCGGAGGCTGATTCCTTTTCCATTTGCTTAGACAGTAAAAGTCATGCAGCTTCTAAAGCGTGTACTGAATGAGCGATCACTGAAAAACTCAGCAGTAAAATGCTGAAATGCTTAAATGTTAAATACAAGACTGTAATTAAAGGGAGAACTTTGGACGCAATGTTCTCAACTAGTGTAAGCTGCCCTAAAATCAACAATTACACTGATTTAACTTCAACTTCCCAAAATCCACTAGCAAAGAATTCGTTAAAAAAAAAAAAAAAGAAAAAAAAAAAAGACTAAAAACAAAAACAACAACAACAAAAAAATCACAGGATGATTACATTTGTGACATCCGTCATATACTCGCTTTGTTTGCAAGAACAGAAAGATGTCAGATTCTTCTTTAGAGTTTGTCACAGTGAAGATGCTGGGTGAGAAAACCGGGGAGATAAAGCAGATGAAGATAAAGCATTATAGCTACTTCTTTGAACTGAGGAAGAACTGAATAGCCAGCATAGACTCTTCTAGTACATAGGACTGACAACTTTTAAGTGTTCAAGATAGCTGTCAGTCGTTTATCACAGAAGAGAAACAATGCAATAATCCTAACTAAATGACCATAGAATTGTAGAATCCTTTGAGTTGGAAGGGACCTGACGGCCATCTAGTCCAACTCTCCTGCAATGAATGGGGACACCACAGCTAGTTCAGATTGCCCAGGGTCTGATCCAGCCTTCTTGAAAGTCTCCAAGGATGGGGCATCAACCACATCTCAGAGTTAGCCTGTGCCAGTGCCTCACCACCGTCACTGTAAAACATTTTTTCCTTATATCCAACCTAAATTTACCCTCTTTGAGCTTGAAGCCATTTTCCCTTCTTCTATTACCACAGATCCTGCTAAAGAGTCTGTCCCCTTCTTTCCTGTAGCTCCCCTTTAGTGACTGAAAGGCCGAAATCAGGTCACCTCAGAGCCTTCTCTTCTCTAGGCTGAAGAGCCATACATAAGCAGACGGGGGAAGGTGGTCTTTGGGCTTTGCTTGTTTTAATAGTATTCCATAATACTACTCAATAAATAAAAGGTCAATCACAATATACATTTGCTATGAACTAAGACTGTCAATGCATGCATAACTGCTTATTTGCACTCTGATTTACTTTTTAATCTGTACATTCCTGAAGAAGAGTTGTATTTAGAAAAGAAGCAATTTTAGGTTTGGAACAAATACATACATAATAACTGAAATTAAAATTTCCAAAGCAGGAATAAATTAAATAAGGATTTGTAAAACAAAACAAAAGAGCACAGAAACCAAAGGAAATTAAAAGCTTCAGAAGGGAAAGAAAAACAAAGGTATATAAACCCAACCTTTCACTAAAATGCTTTTGTTGCATTTTGGAACTTACCTCATAGTGGCTAAACTGACACATTCTTACATTTGAAAGTTGAGGATATGTAAAAAAAATGCAGATTAGTAATTGGAGCATTCACAAAATTTAGTCACTTTCTTGATGGCAAATAAGTGCAAGATTATCTAAAGAAATATAATCTAATCCACAAAACAGACAATCAATCTCCTGTCTAGTAAGACTTTTCTGTCAATGATGATACATTATTTTAAAACACAATTCCTTTCCTTTTAATGGGAATTTTTACTCTTTTGGAATAAAATAAGGAGTGTTACTACTATTCAGACTTCTTCAGCATTATTCTTTGAGGGCTGCTCTGAAAGTTGTATCTCCAATTTTATGATGTTGGCTCTCAACATCAGAGACGGATGTTGGTGGGACGACAGCAGAGGATGAATCTTCCCACCCAATATTCCATTACATGTTGTTGTTACATGTGGTAGCAAAGGGGCAGTCTCTGACAGAATGTCTTCTGACAAGGAAAGCTGCATGAAGCAAAGGAGTACCATTCACTTCCTCCACGCAAAAAAATAAAACTGCACCCACTGACATTCATCAACACTTGCTGAACATTTAAGGAGACCAAATAGCAGACGTAAGACAGCAAGGCAATGGGTGATACGTTTCAGCAGTGGCAACAGCTACTGCGGGTCACCTCTGCTGGTGCAAATTTTTACAAGCATGGCATGAAATCTCCTGTTCATCGCTGGAAAAAATGCATAGTTAATATGTGCTTATGTTGAAAACTAGTGTTTTGTAGCCGAGAATTTGCTCTGTCAAATACTGTTATTGTGCTCTTTTATACATTGTGGTTTCCATGGAAATAAACAGAAGTTATTACTTTCAGAGTGACCTATGTATTTTGGACATATTTCCTTTTCCTTTATTAAAGCATCTCAATGGCACCTCTCAGTAGATGTCTCAATTCATTCCTCATCATGTAAATTGTGCAATTGTACTGTTGCACACCAGCAGGAGGGAGATGACATTTATTTACATTCAATGATTTTTTTTTTTCTGGCAAAATTCCACCAACTTACCCTTCCAATCATTCCCTAATTTCGTTCAACTTAGTAAAACAACTTTTAAAACTACTGCTATGCAAAGATGATTCTAGGCCCGAAACATCTGTAATGCATATTTGTACTTACGAAAATATAATAGTTAAATCTGGATACAGCAACTTGTAGAAAACAGAGAAATGTTGAGAAAAATCAATAAAAAATAACTCCTGAACAGTATTTGATTTTTGTCTCAAAAGGTAATTTAAAATCCGTATTTCTACAAATTGAAGGCTTAGATGATTAAAACACCTGCTTTACAAAAACCTAAAGAACACCTCATCTCTCTTTCCTAGTGTTCTTATCTACTGATGACTTAGCAAGACAAATGCTTTATGACAATGGAAGGAATTAAAATCAAAACCCACAAAAGTTAATAAAAAGAAAAAAGAGTCAGCAAATCTGAGGGCCAATTTTATGATCGTTTGGTTCTTATTCACTGCAGGGACAGTCATTATGTCCCTAGGAAACCAGATTACATGGAAAAGGAGAATGCTAGAAGCTGTAAGGAGGGAATGGTTCCTCAGAAACAAGAAGGAATACAGTGATCTTTAAAATATTTTGTGCTGGTGCAACCATTCAAATTTCCACACAAACTGTTTATTAGAAAACAGTATTTTGAAATATCAGAAATCAAAAATGAAATGTATCAATTGTATTTCAGCACTACTATGCACAAGTGGTGCAGCATTCAAAGAATGCCTTAAGAATGAGGAAACCAATTTTTCAACTTGCATCAAAACAAGTCAATAACTCAGTTCAAAAGTGTAATTTCAAGAAGGCACAACAAAAACCCAAAATCTAACATTATGTTTGCTGTATAAAATGTGACATATTTGCTACAAAATCTAAACATTTTCCTCAGTAAAGGATCAAATTATAATTCCCGTTCAGAGTGTAATGAAGAACTTCAATATTACATGTCAAAACAAACTTTGCACATTCAACTTATTTCCTTGGGGTTTCTTTCAATACCCGGAATATGACTGTGAAACTTGTCACTTTTGCATACTGATGCAAAAGCAAAGACTTAAGAACAAACACTGTCTGGCTGTGAGGAAGTGATGGCATTGAATACTGTATCTGGCTGGCATGGAGTTTGTCTTCTTCCTAGCAGCCTCTTTGGGACTGTGTTTTGGGTTTCTGATGCTTTGATAACATATTGGCATTTGGGTTGTTGCTAACCAGCACATGATAAATGAAATAACATAAGAACACAAAAGCAATATATATCATCACCCTAGATTTAAACAGAGCTGGTCTGGTATTTGTTTTGCTTTCAAATCCTATTAAAAATATATCTTCGGAGAGCAAATTTTAATAAGATAAAATGGTACAAATGCAACAATATCTAACATAAGAATAATGAAACTGGAGTAAGTAATAATCAAATAGCTTTGTGTCTTTGTTTACCTACTGTTTTGGTGGGGTAGATAAAGAACAGAGTTATGAACTAATAACTGAATGATTACTTTCATATGAAATCAGTGCAGGAAGCTCAACTAGCACTAAACCTTTTACATTTTGCCCGAGTCAATATTCCCATTCTTCAAACACTTCAAGAGCATCTCAATGGTAATGAAGATATATGTATACAACGCAAAAAAAATAGCTGTGAATAATGCTAAAACTCCTAGGAAAAACTAAACAGCAATATCAATTCAAATTCATCAGCATACCTACCTATACTGGAAAGCTTTTGAAATATTATTCCTCTTTGAGCAGTCCACATTTTATAAAGCCATGTATTCAAACACATAAAATTCATATATACATATAAATTCCCACTGGGAAAAGTGGCCAGGACATGTCCTCAACTCCAGCTGTCTACACATTATCTGCTCTGACGTAGTAGTGATTGGGATCCACAGAGAGAAAAGCACTATTTTGACTAAAGCCTCAGAGGGATGCCCTACAGGAGGCAGGTAGATTTCCCACAGCATCATAATGCAGTCCACGCACAACATCCAGCAGACACCCAGTCCTCAATTGGGTTCAGAACCTCCAACTGAAACGGCTGCCAGAGCTGTTTCCTCAACAGCACTCCCAGATCAGTGCTCATCTTTAGATTAAACATCAGCTTCACACAAGCACGCTTCCTTTTACAATGAAAAATCAGTTATTTTTGAGTTTCTTGCCAAGTCTATTCAACATTAAGTAACTATTTTTTTAACATGTAGCATTAGTAGTGATGAAGTTGCTACAATCCCAATAGCTGGAACATCACCAGAATATTTCTGTGCAGGTCATGGCTTCAGTAGCAGCTGAGAACAACAAACTAAATATCATGCTTCACGAAAGCAAATGTTGCATTCATATTTGTAGAAAGTATGGAACAGATAATAATGCAGTGCGGTGAAAATCAGTAAGTGAGCTGATAATCAGCAATGTGTTTTTCTGGAGAAGAGGAACAAATGGAGAGGAAAAAAAAAAATCCATAGCTATTAGAACAACCAGATAAGACTAGAAGAACAAAAAAAAAATAGCGATAGTGAGTGCAGATGAAGTGATGCTGTTACAACCGTAACCATTCATGCCCTGGCCTTGCAGAACCCAGATGGATCATAGAACAATCCAGCCCAGCCCAGGGCTGCCAATGCCTACCCTCAGGGAAGGCAGAGGACAGGCAGCACTCGCTAGGGTAAGCATTGCTCTCAGGGTG